GTGGACAGCGCGTTCAAGACTAGCGAGTCACTACTATGATTTATGGAGATCTTAGACACTTTAGAATCGGAACGATTCGTTTCGAACAAACACTCTAAGGCTATTCATTAATTTCATAAATATGGATCTCAAAGACACGATTGCACGCGATCGTAAAAAAGCGAAGTCCCCGAGTAATCTGCGAAGAACACTCTGAACACAAAACAAAGCCATTTTTAACAAAGCATAGTAGTCAAATTGACTCAAAGAACAGGGCAATTCACTCATACTGTTGTAAGTATCAAATAATGTAAAATTCTTCGGGACTCTCTGTGTCAAAGCCAATTTTTTTGAATTGGTCCAATTTTCACAACAATGACGTCGGTCATTAACCGAAAGAGAAATATTCCTTACGTCGACCCAATTTATATTTAAGGAGAATTGGAGGTGGTGTTCCCTTGGGTCAAACATTGTACCTACATTATTTAGTCTAGCAAAGTCTATCGCTGGTCAATTGTAATGAATTTAGGTACAGTTGTGTGTATATAAATGCCACTTATTCATCCGTCCATTCTCTTGTATCTAAGTCGGTGAAGAACCATTTCATCTCTAAAAGGGTACTACCTACTGTATTCACCACTGCTGTAAAACTCCGTACCCTTGCAACCAAACTTTCGTTCTTTCTGGAGCCCAGTCGACTTCGAAAACAGTTTTCCGAATTTTTTTGAGTTTGATTTTCTTAGGAGCTGATTTTGATAGACGAACAGAAAGCAAAGATTTCATCTAAGAGGAACAAGGGATTGGAAGTTGTCTTATGGGACCAAATCAAACTGTCCACTAAGTTTCCCTATTTTACGTGTGTGTCTTGCGTATGGTGTGTGAAGAACAGTCCTGAGGGACTTCTTGGACGACAGACACAACTCCCCGTTCAACTTCCATATCATTCTCATTTTGGTTCGCCTCAACAGGTACACGTATCTACACACAATCTCACACACAACACACAACACAACTGGGAAAGGAGACTCTCAGTAATGCACCAAGGTGAAAACCCTTAACTGATAAGAAGGAAATGAACGGTGAAAGTGTCTCTCTCGGGTACTGGAAGAACAGACTTGTGTGTGGGTGAAGAGTGGAACTTTAGAGACACATTTCAAAAGTGCGTGAACAACGTGTGAACATGGCGAGGTGTGTGTGTGTACGTGTGTTCAATAGGGACATTGAAAGTCAATCCAGTTGGGGAATTCCCACCGGGTTTGAATTTGAGTCCATCCTTGTGTTACGGTATAAAGATCTATGTACTTCGGATTAATCGGTTTCTTGTTTTTCTAGTGTAAGAAGTACATGGATTCCAAAGATTAATTTCCTTTTTATAGGGAGTAACAAGGAGCGTGTATGGCGTGCCTCATATGTTGGAATAATACTGAGTGTTCGACTGTGGCCGCCTTGTGCATCTTTTTTTGTCGAGAGTTTCGGTCGTTGTGTCATCTATAAAACTAAGGAGGAACAAACGGAGTCCACTAAGTCCATACAGAGTGCGGGCTCCCGAAGATCATACAGGGCGAGTGAAATATCCTGCAATAGTGTGCATGAGAGAACAAACTCCAAAAGTGCTCGAGGTAAAGAGGGATAGCGGCGAACGTACAAGGTAGCGAGCTAGACCATAGACATACATTATCTGCGCCTGTTAGCAAAGTAGGTATACCAGCCGAAGATGCATTTGCGTAGGTTTTTTACTCCGTCCGATGTAGTATCTCAAGGACAACACGAAAGCAAGAGGCGGCTAACTTAGGCCAGAGACTATCGACGAGTCTCACAAGACCGTATCGTCACCTCGAGACTACCTGCAAACATAATAAGAGTGTTGTGCGACAAGCCCGAAACACTTTTTGACGGGGCTACACAAGGGGTCCAAGGACATTCATTGTGTCGAGACGGTCCACTATTCTAGTGCCTGATCGTCTCGCTCGGTTAACAATCGGGTCTTGCCGCCGCAAATCACCGGGTAAACTCGCGCGACCCGCGCCGACACCACCGCGGACACCCACTCATTAGACCATTGCCGATTCGAAGAACTATCGACTGCGAGCATGCACACTCGCTATCAATGCTGCGCTACAAGTGTAGGAGCGACCCCGGTTTGGGGACTTGACACAGGAAGCGGTCGCCTGTCCTATGTTATGTCCCTATAGTCGTGCCGACACACCTATTCTTGAAGGGTACATCCTTTACTATAGACTAACGCTTGGCCGACGCGGTTCTCCGACTGCCATGCTCTGACGGACGTGGTACCGTCTGCATGCGCGCAGTGGATGAAATACACGTATGACTTTCAATCGCTGGCTGAGTGTGTGGTATAGGGATTTATCTCTCCAGATATCTTTCTTGGTTCGGACTGGAGTAAGCCCACTACGTACTTTCGGGTCCTCCGACGGCCACACAAACCTTGATACGGACGTTATCGCTGGCGGGTGTTTAAGGCCCAGTGAAGGTAGGTAAGGGTAGAGGGGCTAGAAGCAGGGCGGACCATAGGCAACGAGGACCCCACCTCTTGCGGCTGGGGCTCGCCGGGTAGCATCTAGCTGACCTTTCAATGCAGTGTAGAGAGCGGCAAGAGCTGAGGTATGATCCTAAGTGTGATAAAAATGTCCGTATCAGCGCACGCTAACACCGGTCAGAGAGATGTAGACCAGAAGACCTTCAACGCGGTTCCGATCGTCTCGACATCGTCAACGATCGTATTATCTTGGCAAGGTACTGCCATGAAAATTTCCATTCTCTTGTTACACACTTCTCAAACAATAATAGCGCTCCTGAAGAGTAGAGTAGAGAGGCTTAAACATGGTAAAGCATAAGTGTGGTGAGCTTGTTACATCAAATCATGTTTGTCCAAGACTCCTACCGTCACCACTAAATAGGAGATGTACTCAAAGTGATGCCCTAAGAGATCCCACTTGCAAATGTCCTATTGTCTAATTCGTATCCTATGGTTAGTGAGATAATTTCATGGTGTGACTGGTAACGCCTTAGTTTATGGGCAGGCACAGACTGTGAATGTGAGTCAGAAGACATTTGTGGGAGAGAGATGGATGGGAATGGGCGCGCGCATACCAATATGGGTCAACCCATGATGACATATCTATTATACCTGGTTCTTACACTCTGTTGAAATACATACCTTTAAGCCTAATCACGTGGTACCACTCAACTGAACCTAGCGGTACTAAACGCTCATCGAAACAACTTTAGTAGACGTTATATTATTTTGCTAAGCGCGCCATTCGCGATAGTCAAACACCTTGTTTCTGGTTGTGCTCGGAATTACGAGGGTTCCGTTGTACAACGGGTAGCGCTTGGCATCCTGTGGGAGATCTCTCACTACGAGGGGGATGCCATCACGCCACACCATAATTGGCACAGAGGAAGTACAATGGCCTGAGTTAGAAAGCACTCTCGTGTTCTTGGGCTCTGCCCCCTCCTAAAGTTACCTCGTGACTGACGGGTGGACGTAAGACGTCGGGCTAGTCGGGACGTGGCGCACTCGAGAGTTGAGAGCTCACGAAAATAGTCTTCGGGAAGGGACGAAAGAGACATATAGTGTATTGATCTGAACTGACGTCGAACACGCTGTTTACCAACACGCAGAAGCACAAACCACTACTGTTTCACCGTGGCACGGCCAGAGAGGGTTATTTGCCCTACACAATAAGTAACTTCATATTAATTTGGAGCTGTGGCAATAACAAGAAAAGCGACGAACCAGTGCGACTTTACCGAGGACGACTGAACTCGGTCGGTAAAAACGTGAGGCGAGGACACACGTGCACCCTCTCGCCGTCGTATTGAACGATGGAAACGAGACCCGCTCACACTCGGTGAGTGTGGTCACAGAGGCGTGTATACTGTTTTGGGCGACCCAGCCGCGGTGATCCTCGTCGTGTCGTTTGGTGTCCAGTGGGTTAGTGCCCCGTATCCTGTTTTCAATGTCGCTGACAGAGACTAATACTAATACAATACAGTTACAAATACAACATGTAGGTTGACGAATGAACGTCTTATACTCCTACCCCAGGTATTTTTGTCTGTGTAAATTGTAGTAGTAGTACGACCGACGACGACACGACGACGACCGACGACGGACGGACGACGACGACCGTGCGAGATAACTATCCAGTGGACCAGCCGAGTAGGACAGGCAAACAGACTGTCGTGTATTCTTCTTACTTGTAATCAGTAAATCATATTGAAACGCAGGAGTGAAATGGTACCAAAGTAATGACTTAATTGATCGGTACTTAACATTCTCCGTATTAGCCCATGTGGCATCAATTCTACGATTATGTACCTTTAAAACTTCGATAAGCCAAACTAGGGGACGGCGGAGGACTTGTCAGGAATGATTAGGTTACCTTTGTACATCCTTTCAATCGACCGAGAAGAAGACTGACGAATATGTTCAAAGTGTTTCTTCTAGGATAGTTATAACATAGAAGTCCTTTCCAAGTTTCCGAGTATTTTATTTGTTCGTTGTCCGAGAAAACCGGCTTCCGTCGACAATCTAGGATTGTGACAGTTATTAACAAGTTGTGAATTAAGGATTTATTATATAGGAAAGTGGTATCCCATCGTGTATTACTAGAATAAAGATAGAAAAATATAATATAGTAAACTACCACAACTACACTTACATTCCCTTATGTATTGTTGTATTAGCGTAAGACCCACACATTTATCTATTAATAAACGTATATTAGGGTTTGGGACAACTATAGAGTGATTTATTTAATGGTGTTTAGTCGATGGCAAAGGGGATATCAGCGGACAACTAGAGTTGAGCGGTATAGTCGTAACGAAGGAGAACTGGCGGTACTTGAAAAAGGCTCTAGCCTGTGTGCTAGGGAGCGAGGACGTATTGGTGCACTGCTATTGGCAATAAAAACCGATGAAGGGTCGACAGCATTTGAGAATATTGATCATACCGGCGTACCAGCCGGTCCACTAACTACTTACCTACCCAGGGTTCAGACAGGACTACACACGGTCGCTGCGTCTACGGCGTCTCTCTTGAAGAGGAAAACGGCGACCCCAGGTCGCCAGTTGGTCGAGACTTGACCCCCAGGGGAGTGCCGCGAGGCGCTCAGCGGTCGCTTCTCTATAATATAGAGGTGGACAAGGAGCAGCACAGTATTGGGGAAAGCCCCAGCCAGAGAGAGTGGTCGACCTACAATTAAGTAGACTTTCTATATAATTGAATTATCCTACCGTTAAGACACGTAAGAGCGCGGGAGCGTCACTCCATCGAAAAGTGTTCCCTTAGAAGACACCACCAAGTCCAATAAAAACTAGTCCCTATAAATGGGAAATTGTGGGTGTATTTTAGGTTAAAGAGTTCTATGCCTGGCGGATTCAGCATAGGCTAGAGGCCATTGCTAACGTTAGTTTTCAGTTCCGGTATAGGTAAACGGACGTTTCTTGCTACGTCTCTTTTGATCAGGTACGTAAACATATAAGAATCTTCGAACCATAACTAACATCTTCCGAGTGAAAAATATAAGTAGCTCCCGGAACGACGCGTTTTCTCTCAGTCAGTGCACGACGCAACTCTGACTAAGTTTTTCCGACGTCGAAGAAACAATAAGGAATGATTGGTCACATCACTTCCTTTCTTACCTCAATTTCCTTTGTTGCCCTTAGAGCGGTGTTACATCGGAGGACAAGACCTGAGGTTCAGTGTATGACCCGAAGTGTGTGCTCAGTATCCTTAAATTATAAGGAAGAAGAGTCGGATGTTTCGGGACCATATATTTACTCACGCTGCGCGGCGGGTAGAGAATGGAATTCTTGAAGTAATACCGGGAGAACAGGATGACCCCCGTAACGCAAGTTCCTTACCGTATCCACAACGACCAACAAGGGATCATGCAGTAGATTTCATGTTTACCCTCGGTCTCGAAAAAGAATAGTCGAGGGGAAACCACCTTCGAGCGCAAGGCGAAACACAAGGCCAAAGATTGTCTCGTTCGTGGGTAAGGATAATTAACTATTACTGTATTATCAATCTCCACTAATCTAGACAGATCCGGAGAATCAAAAACGATCTAATATCGAAGCAAACCAGCCAACTACCTGATAGAAGTAAGACAGGAAAGAGCAGACAGGAAGATGGACAACATGACAGACGAGATATAATAGTTTATTTGCAAAATAATCTGTTGGTTGTAAACAAACGTGACTATTATTGTGGTCGAACAGGGGTTTAAGAATGAACAAACTGAAGAAGTGAATATTACAGTTGTAGATATGCGGCCCTAGCGAGCCAATCTAGTGTACCCTACTAGGACGAATATTCATAAACAAAGGGGGGAACACAGTTACACTAACGCAATGCGGAGACGCATAGATACTCGGCACCGAAACAACCAGAGGGAGCTAGTAATTCAGGACCATTACACTAGGAGTGGATATGAGTGCACTCTACAGTAGAAGGGATACCATAATATCGCGGTGACGGATAAAGAGGTTGTTGTGTAGACCTGCTGATGAGCAAACCGTGTTTACATACATAGAAACAGTTTTTGAAATGGTGTAGCACAAGGAATACGGATTGCAAAGAGTACAGAGCGAGTGACGCATGCGCGACACGTACCCTAGAGGAGACCAGGTCAGAAAGGCAGAGCAATTCTGCTGATTAGACGTTAAGTATTTTGTCAGGCTTAATATTTATCTGTTGATACCCCCAAAGCTTTTTTCTTATTTAAAAGAAGACCTTAATCTAAAGTATTATTTAATGTTTGAATAAAGGTTAATTAGTTTGTCTGTTTTGCACATCCTCCTATTAAGATCTTTGCACATCCTGCACTAAACTGTTTTATTGTAGAGATCACTTATAGTATCTTCTTGATTTTTTATATTCTATATTTCTATCATTGACCTTCTACTTTCCCCCTATGAAAGTATGTACTCTTAATATTTTTTTCATCAAATATAACACATAAAAACAATAATTCAATAACGTTCTTTAACCACTAGGCGGTGCACACAAGGTACACACAGCCATAATAACTTTGTATCATTAGTGTAGGACACTTATGTATGTACAACATCTGAAGATGTGTAGTTTTGTTCATGCTTTCACATAATTTTACAGCATATTGCTATATTATTTCAGACTCAGTATTTACATTCTTATATTCAAAGAAAATCAGTAATATCTTTAAAAACTACAAGTCCTTTTATATCAGCTGTGCACCGTTATGGTGTAAATATAACCTATCTATGAATTAGATCAAATGTAAAAGTCAGCCGAATTAGTGTTGATACTGCAAAGAGAGGAGGAATTGAAGATGTTGTTTAATTGTTGATATATTTATGATCCACGTCAAGTATTCAGTTTCGGCTGCATTTCTTCCAGTTTTTGTAAAGGTCTTCTCATCAGGGCTCTATAAATAAAGAACTACTGCAGATCTGTAATATGTAATGCAGCCGAACCGTGTATTACAATGCCGTTATGTGATGACTTTCAAAGAGAAAAGCAAAAACACTCGGAATAAAGTATTATTTTATTTAAAAAAAATGTTTTTCGGATTTGATATGGCATGAACGCCCTACATACATTGCGGCTAAAACATCCAATCAGCGAGCTTAAACCATAGCTGAGGATCTTGGGTAATCAGTTCAGTGGCTGTGTATCGCAATGATGCTCGAAATGTCCCTTATAGGCCTACGTCTGTTTCCGGTTATTTTTATTTTGAAATTCAGTTCCTGACGGACGCCAAAAAGGCAAGAGATTATGGAATTAAACAAATAAATAAAAACAAGGATAATTGTGTGTTATTGGTGAGTAAATAACAGTGTGTTATTTAGAAAATAATAACAAATTAGAAGGAAAAAAAAAGATTTAAAAAATACAGATTTCAGTATTCTGAGGCTCTGAGCCCCATTTCTTTTCCTCACAGACGACAAAAAAAGTCCGACATTATACGATTTAAAATAAAAACAATAATCGTGGCTTGATATTGAGTAAGAACATGTTTTTATGAACCACACAGCTTCCGGTCTTCCAAGACCCGAACGGACAAAAAGACGTGCTGCAGGCACGAAACATACTACCAATAGAAATACATTGCTTTTAAAATCGTTCTGTGTGACACGAAAAAAAAGGGGAAAATCGTGTTGGTGAACAATAATCAATTGATCAAATGTCGTGACTATAACACGAAATGCCATGAGACTGGGTTGTCACTTTCCAACATCCATGATGTAAAACGATGCAGAGCAGTGTAAAATGGTATTTACATCTGCTTCAACACAATATCTGTTCTTTATTCTAACCTTCCTCACAGCTGTGTGCTGGTTTTTATTTAGCAGTAGACTCCCTGCTTCTGTGAACAGTTGTCTCAATGTCTTTACTGGATCATATTGTCTTTTCTCACACAACATCTAAACTTAGTGTCAGTTTTACCATGGAATCTATTTCACACTTTACTGTCCTGAAGGTGGAATCCTCTCTGATCTGCAATAGCTTTTTTAGTCTTTTCATGTTTGCTCCTTTTGAAGCGTTTTGTGATTCAAGCCCTATTCACACATTGAATACATAACAGTGCTGGCTTCATCAATCTGGTAAAACTAGGGCATTATGTCATTATTTTATAAAAGCCAATGAACAACACACAATTGGATTGCCGGATATTAAGTTGGGAGTACTAAAATGTAACATGATGCAGAGCAGTGTTAGAAGGGTGTTATCATCTCACAACATCTGTTCTTTACTCTTACCTTCCTCACAGTTATCGCCCTTATAGCCGGTGTTGCAGATGCAGGCTCCCACGATGCAGATGCCGTGGCCTCCACAGTGGATGTCGATGCACTGGTTGACCGGCACATCACACTCAGTGCCTTTCCAGCCGCTGTAGCACTGGCAACGGCCGCGGGAATACTGGCCGTTCCCACTGCAGAGCACCGGGCAGGCGGCTGCAGGGAGGAGCACGTCAGATACAGATCCTCTACTTCAATCAGTCAGAGGAAACATGACTCTCCCAACAGTCACTGCCTCTCTATAGACGAGAGCAACCCATCCGGGCACTTTCCCTCTACGTCATGGCCCACCGCTTTTTGGGTGCAAACATCTGCTGTCATGTGACCGGTAGGTAATACAGATTCTGACGTTTTCTCCAATAACAGCAGGAAATAAATAATAGTGCGCCTTTTGTATCTACAAGGAGCCCAATTACAATGGTCAGACAGGAAAACAAATACATCATAATATTGGACGTCGAAGATCGGCGTGGATTTATGGTTTAATTCAAGTAAATAGGCGATGGATGTCCGGTCGGTCTGCTGGTGGACGAGTGTCAGGCAGCAGCTCACACTGAAACTAGATTTTGGCTTGTCAGTGTTTTATATTTGAATGCAGCAGCCACAGTCACTACTTCTGACTATTGTTTGAGGTGCAATAAGGGACAGAGCAGCTTTTAGGCATGCTGTGTCCAGGCCCTGTTGGGCCACATTAAACTATTGTTGTCTCCCATCTATAGGTGGCATAGTGTTTGTGCGTTTACCTCGAGAGCAGTCAGGCCCTAGGAATCCTGGGAAACAGTGACATATTCCTGAGAGACAATCCCCGTTTCCATGACAATTCTGAGGACACTCCATAATCGACTCTGATTAAGATGAAGTGAGAGTGAAAGAGAGAAAGAGGGAAAGGGAGATAGAGAGGTGAGTTAAGGGTGTAAGTTCATTGGGTGGACTGGATGTGTAACTGTAAATAACAAGCACCATACACCGGCCCTCACTGGTTGCTATAGTTACAGCCAGTCAGTCCAATCAACACTTTCTAACATCCAATTACTGCGCTGCCTTCTTCCTGCTCAAGCTCTCGCTTTCTATTACACACCACTGCTGGCTCTACACACACACACACACACACAGACACACACACACACACACATACACACACACACACATACACACACACACACACACACACACACACACGCACGCACGCACGCAAGCACGCAAACATATATTATAACACTATACTATGCCTTTCAGTGTATACTAGTGGTTATTTTAGAACAAATATTAGTTTTTATTATGATAATTAAGAGTGCTGATTTAATGTTCATTAAAAATAAATGTGAAGGCAGATTATGTAGGCAACAAAACAATATGTTGGTATCCTGAAGCAGGTCTGGGTCTGTTTTGCAGACTGGTGTTATAATTATAAAGTTAGTATGTGAATTACTGTAATGACAAGCTGCCACATTAATAACGGTCTCTTGTATTGTCTGTGTAGTCAGTAACTCTTTCAGTCATCACTGTGAACACACCCCCCCCCCCCTCACCTATAGCAATAGTGTTATAGGAGACTTGTTCTGTGTTGCGCCCGTCGTTGTACATGGCCAGGTGCCAGATCCCCGTGTCCAGGTACTGGATGAAGCCGGCCCCGTGCACGTTCACAGAGCGTGTGTGTCGGGCCCCCCCTGCGGACTCCTCCTCGTGAGCATGTCCTGCATCCGTGTCACTGAGCGACCGCTTGTCTTTGGAAATGAGGCGGCTACCGTCCAGAAGCTCCACAAAGTCGTACTAAAAGACAAAAATACACAATTAGGATTATATATTTTACAAACAAACAAGTACCTCAAGGTAAACAGATAAGTATCCCAGACAGTGGTCTAGATGAAGGAACTGTGGTCAGTCTAACAGTCCATATTAACAACTGGCCATATTTCAATTCAGTTTCTTATGATTATTTATGACACCCAGAGCATTATGGAATATGGCAACCCTGACCTTTGATCTTGGACATCTGTCAACTTATTAAACTCATATGGTCCATATCTTAATCACTATTGAATGGATTTCCATGAAATGTGTTGTTGGTATATGTTTAAACTTTAATTCCTGATGTTCAGAATATGGGGTTAAAGTTAGCTGACTATAGTTCTTATGACTTTAGTTTTATTTATAAATGTTAATTGATTATGTCTGTGTGTTGATAGTTCTTTTATTTTTATATTTTAATATGATAAAACTCAGTTAAACAGCATGCATTAACAGTAGCAACAGCATAATTCCTATTTTAAAATGTTCAAACAAAATGTCTACTTTTTCCTTAACAGAAAAAAACAAGCTTGATGAGATTGATGGAGAAGGACTCTCTCTCTCTCACACACACACACACACACACACACACACACACACACACACACACACACACACACACACACACACACACACACACACACACACACACACACACACACACACACACACACACACACACACCCACAGATCTCTCACAGATAAGTGGGTTATTCCCTTGATGGAAGACATGATTATCACACAGAGATGTAAGTTTAGTCAAATGGTATTTTAGCTGTGTAAGGAGCTTATCTTCTTCATTATTAACAAAGAATCCATTAAGCACCTGTCCTAGACACACTTGCAAAGTTGAAAGAGGGATTTGGGGTCTTGACATTTGAGGAGGGAGAATGTTTTTGTTATCACTTTAGGTGGTTGGTCAAATCAGAGGACAGAGGATCCTAAAATATGATAAGAGTTCATTCCGGAGAGACTGATGCAAACACTGCTCCAGCTTCTGCCGAGGTTTGTGCCGGTTTGAATCCACTAACAGGTTTCAATCTAGTAGTAGACAGTAGCTTCTGTGAGGATCTGGTATATATGAACTATATCCCCCTCATAACTTAAAACTTGGTCTTTAACGTTCCATTTATTTAACCAATGTTTCTCCTTTATGCACTAGAGTTGATGACTAACAGGTCTAACCGTGCCGCTGCAGGCTTTACATTCATCTGACTCCATTTATTTCACACTTGTGACATGTTGAAAGTGACACAGATATGTTAGCAGGTCAGATCTGGTGCGATTGTGGAGACATGACGTGACACTTATTCTGACATGAGACCAGCTGCTATACAGCCATCAGGTATCGCAGAGGAGGGGGGCTGTCGGAACGGCCTTTAGGCTGGAAGAACTAGGTCTGGTTAAAGTGTAGCCTCCATGAACTTTCCGGAGCTATTCATATATGAGCACATCATTTGATTTGCATGCACTAGCATGTGCTTATGTTTGTGTTACCAACCTGTGTGTGTGAGGGCGGCAGGCCTTTGCGTCCATAGACTCCAACAAGAGCATCCTTCTGCACGGAGATGTTGAATTTCAAAAACTGTGGCTGATCAATATATAGCTGGGACCTCCAAAACACACCTTGGATGAAAAAGGAGATACAAATCAGCAATTTAAAGATGAACACAGTCCTTGATGTCCTCTCTATACACCGTACAAATCCACACGCTCACACAAAACCACAATTAAAAAGTCCTGGATTTTAGATACTCCCATCTCCAATGCATGCAGAAATTCAAAATCATTATTTCACATTTTCTTTAGTTATTTCTGTGTCAGTGTGTTGAGATCAATTATTCATCTCTTATAGATTCTGCTCTCCTGGAACTGCTGACAAGATGCAGCATACTGACGTTTATTCACCAATATGTTGC